TCCTGCGTTTTACAGGGTATTTTGCTCTTCCGTTTTTTCCGCCTTTTTTGGAGCCTGTGGCTCAAGGTGGGTCAACATAGGCCTCAAGATGGGCGAACATAGTCCCAAGATGGGGCAACATAGCCCCCAAGATGGGACAACATAACCTCCAAAATGGGCCAACATAGCCCCAAGATGGGCCAACATAGCCCCAAGATGGGCCAACACAGCCCCAAGATGGGCCAACATAGCCCCAAGATATGCCCACAGCCCCAACCCACCAACCCCAAACCCAAAAGCACAACCCACCACTGACCATCTCAACCCACCAACCCCAAACCCGCAAGCACAAATCACCACTGACCAACCTCAACCCGCCAACCCCAAACCCGCAAGCACAAACCACCACTGACCAACCCCAACCCACCAACCCCAAACTCTCATACACAAACCACGACCGACCAACGCCAACCCACCAACCCCAAACCCTGAAGCACAAACCACGACCGACCAACTCCAACCCACCAACCCCAAACCCTGAAGCACAAACCACCACTGACCAACGCCAACCCACCAACCCCAAACCCTGAAGCACAAACCACGACCGACCAACTCCAACCCACCAACCCCAAACCCAAACGCGCAAAGCACCATTGACCAACTCCAACCCACTAACCCCAAACCTTCACGCACAAACCCCGTCCGACCAACCCCAACCGTCACACCACACACCCGCGGTGGGTTAACATAGGCCTCAAGATGGGCGAACATAGTCCCAAGATGGGGCAACATAGCCCCCAAGATGGGACAACATAACCTCCAAAATGGGCCAACATAGCCCCAAGATGGGCCAACATAGCCCCAAGATGGGCCAACACAGCCCCAAGATGGGCCAACATAGCCCCAAGATATGCCCACAGCCCCAACCCACCAACCCCAAACCCAAAAGCACAACCCACCACTGACCATCTCAACCCACCAACCCCAAACCCGCAAGCACAAACCACCACTGACCAACCTCAACCCGCCAACCCCAAACCCGCACGCACAAACCACCACTGACCAACCCCAACCCACCAACCCCAAACTCTCATACACAAACCACGACCGACCAACGCCAACCCACCAACCCCAAACCCTGAAGCACAAACCACGACCGACCAACTCCAACCCACGAACCCCAAACCCTGAAGCACAAACCACCACTGACCAACGCCAACCCACCAACCCCAAACCCTGAAGCACAAACCACGACCGACCAACTCCAACCCACCAACCCCAAACCCAAACGCGCAAAGCACCATTGACCAACTCCAACCCACTAACCCCAAACCTTCACGCACAAACCCCGTCCGACCAACCCCAACCGTCACACCACACACCCGCGCCCCAGCAATCTCAACAACCAACGACGACGACAACAACAACAACAACAACAACAACAACAACAACAACAACAACAACCACAACAACAACAAAAACAACAACAACAACAACAACCACAACCACAACAACAACAACAACAACAACAGCAGCAGCAGCAACAACCACATGTGTCGCTGCAACCCTTGGTTGCAGGCTCCGGGCTCTTGCCCCTAGCTATTCCTTGCCTGGCCTGTCGCCTTTCTCGCCGTCCAACGAAAATAGTTGGTTGCACTTGCGTCTGGCATCGGCCGTCTTCGGCGCCTTGGCAGCCCACGCCGCGGTCTGGGGTTCTACATATGTCCAATGTGCACCTGCTATCCACCTGCCCAGCCTTTTGGTCGCCTGCGCCGATGCAGACAAGACATATTTGTCTTGGTGCCTATTCTGTCCGGTATTGCCCCCCGACTGTTTCTACCCAGCCGTTGGCCTAGGCCTCTGCAGGGTTTGCACGCCAGGAAATCCTGCAGGCGGGTGTCCGGTGCGGTGCCAGGAAACATTGACGGTCCTAGCCGTGGGGCTCCCCGCGAAAAAAAATCAACCAACGACGAAATCAAAGGTGACCTTATCCAGACGCTCTTTCTTCGGGTTGTTGTTTCGCTGACCCTGAAAGTGGTTATGCCCCAGCCGGACCCGTGGCCTGCATCCAGCGTCCCACGAGGTCGTCTTGCGCCAGCGCCTGGCGTCAAAGCGGCGGCGGCAGGGACTGGCGACAGGCGACGGAACCGGCTGCCGCTTCACCTGGTTGAGGTTGGGTCCGAACACGTTGTCCTCCACCGGCTGTGGCGTGACCTGGCGGGAGCGCCGTATCCAACTACTAATTCTGGCTAACCTTGCATGCCTCACTAACAGTTGTCATTTCATAGTTGAGTTACGTCCATGAGAGTCAAATGCAGTAAATGAGAGTCAATTACTTTCGTATCCAACTACTAATTCTGGCTAACCTTGCATGCCTCACTAACAGTTGTCATTTCATAGTTGAGTTACGTCCATGAGAGTCAAATGCAGTAAATGAGAGTAAATTACTTTCCCGGTCCTGCTCAACAGACTGCGGCATTTCAAGTGAGTTTGCCTTACCGTGACGGCTGCGAAAACCACCCCCTCGCTACCGACACGCCTGCCCTTTTTTTTCCCGAATCGCGTGTCTTTGACGCTTGGAGTCTGGGTGTCGAAACCCCACTGCAGGACGGGACAGCCGAGTCCTTGTTCTTAGCTAGGTAGGTTGATATGCTGATGGGTCCAATGCAGTTTACACAGGCCAGGTGCACTGTTCGAGATCTGAACGTGCGACACAACCAAACCGCGGCGTGAGCAACGCTCTAGCACTGCCCTGGGCAACGCCCTGGTTGCAGCCGGTTGTCTGAATTCTCGTTGAGGCACCCAACAAAACGCATGGCTATTTGGGAAATGACCGGTGTGCGAATGCTGCAGAGGTTAGGTGTCGGGTCATGGTCTCTAGGACGTCTGCCGGCAATGTCGTGTCCCTGGGCTACGCCCTGGTTGCAGCTCGTCTCATTGCGTTTAACTCGGTTGGTTCAAGTAAAGATCAAACACTGGCAAAAGGGCATGTCTTACGATATGATACGGTCCTGTTTGCCCTGAGAAAATGGTTCGTGGATGAATGGGACTATGGGAGGGAAGCTTCGTTACTGGTACGTGCGGTGGGTCATGCGGGGCTTGACTCATCCGTGGCGGTCCAAATGCATGGTATCGGCAGCACTGGCTTCGTGGATTGTCCTTGGTAGTAGATTGTGCAACGTGTGGCTGACAACATGGTTACTCTCGGTCCTTTCTGCCTTGTGATTGAATGGAACTATGGGACGGAAGATTATGTAGTGGTTTAATCGTTAAGGGCATGCTCTAGGTACAGTGGTTCCTTATGTGTGTTGTGCGTAACTTGACTCCTCCGCGGCGGTCCAAATGCATGGTGTTGGCAGCACTGGCTTCGTGGCGTGTCCTTGGTAATTGATTCTGCAACGTGTGGTTAAAAAAATGGTTACACTCGGTCCTTTCTGCCTCGTGACTCGTGATTGAATGGAACTATGGGACGGAAGATTATGTAGTGGTTTAATCGTTAAGGGCATGCTCTGGGTACAGTGGTTCCTTATGTGTGTTGTGCGTAACTCGACTCCTCCGCGGCGGTCCAAATGCATGGTGTTGGCAGCACTGGCTTCGTGGCGTGTCCTTGGTAATTGATTCTGCAACGTGTGGTTAAAAAAATGGTTACACTCGGTCCTTTCTGCCTCGTGACTCGTGGTTGAATGGAACTATCGGACGGAAGATTATGTCGTGGTTTAATAGCTAAGGGCATGCTCTGGGTACAGTGGTTCCTTATGTGTGTTGTGCGTAACTCGACTCATCCGCGGCGGTCCAAATGCATGGTGTTGGCAGCACTGGCTTCGTGGCGTGTTCTTGGTAGTTGATTCTGCAACGTGTGGCTGCAAACATGGTTCCTCTCGGTCCTTTCTGCCTTGTGATTGAATGGAACTATGGGACGGAAGATTATGTAGTGGTTTAATCGTTAAGGGCATGCTCTAGGTACAGTGGTTCCTTATGTGTGTTGTGCGTAACTTGACTCCTCCGCGGCGGTCCAAATGCATGGTGTTGGCAGCACTGGCTTCGTGGCGTGTCCTTGGTAATTGATTCTGCAACGTGTGGTTAAAAAAATGGTTACACTCGGTCCTTTCTGCCTCGTGGTTGAATGGAACTATCGGATGGAAGATTATGTCGTGGTTTAATAGCTATGGGCATGCTCTGGGTACAGTGGTTCCTTATGTGTGTTGTGCGTAACTCGACTCATCCGCGGCGGTCCAAATGCATGGTGTTGGCAGCACTGGCTTCGTGGCGTGTTCTTGGTAGTTGATTCTGCAACGTGTGGCTGCAAACATGGTTCCTCTCGGTCCTTTCTGCCTTGTGGTTGAATGGAACTATGGGACGGAAGATTATGTCGTGGTTTAATAGCTAAGGGCATGCTCTGGGTACAGTGGTTCCTTATGTGCGTTGTGCGTAACTTGACTCATCCGCGGCGGTCCAAATGCATGGTGTTGGCAGCACTGGCTTCGTGGCGTGTTCTTGGTAGTTGATTCTGCAACGTGTGGCTGCAAACATGGTTCCTCTCGGTCCTTTCTGCCTTGTGGTTGAATGGAACTATGGGACGGAAGCTTATGTAGTGGTTTAATAGCTACGGGCATGCTCTGGGTACAGTGGTTCCTTATGTGTGTTGTGCGTAACTTGACTTAGGAGGCAGCAACCGGTGGGTGAACCAATGGTTCATCGCTGCCTTGTGGTTTTGCGGGACTATGCAAGGAAATGGATTATTAACTGGCTTGGGGTGGTAGTGGATTCTGCACATGGCCATGAAAGGTTGGCCCAAATATATTGCAAGTTGAGAATGCAACACAGTGGCGTCCTAAAGCCAAGCATTTCGCAACAAGTGGCTGAAAAAATGGTCGCAAGGCCGCGGCGTGAGCAACGCTCTCGCACTCCCCTGGGCAACGCCCTGGTTGCAGCCGGTTGTCTGAACTATCTTGGAAGCACCCAACACAACGCATGGCTATTTGGGATATGACCGGTATGCGAATACTTTCGGATTAGGTGTCGGGCAGCACGGTCTCTGGGACAGGTGCCGGCAAGGAGCTCTCCAAGTTGGCGCTGGCGACGCCTCGTTTCCTTTTCCGTGGTTGACACAACAAAACTGCAGGCTGGGAAACTGAGCTGTCATCGGGTGGTTTTGGCACGGCGTCCGCGACAGCTGGCCGAAGTGCGGGTGTGGTCTGAGCTGGCGTGGCGCACGGCGCCGTGCCGGTGGGCCTGCTCTGCGCTTTTCTTCGCTTGGGCTGGCTACAGGGAGCCGCCGGAGTGGCACTGTCATCAGGCGGTTCCGCCGGCGGCGGCAACGGTGGCAAGGTGTCTGCTTCCTCGGCCTTTTGGATCTTACGGCGTTTGGCCGGTCCCGTGTCGGATGCGTAGCAGGTCTGGCACGTCCACTCTGGCTTGAATTTGGCATGATCGGCTGCGTGGGTGCTCGGACGCGGTCGACCACAGCCGGCTGCACATGGCGGAAAGGCACACCCGTGGCACCAGCCGTGGGAATGCGGGCGGCCGAGCATTGGCTGTTTGCATACTGCGCACTTGGGACCACGTTCTGCACACTGTGGACACGCGGCGTCTGGCCCGCCGCCGGCGTCTGGGCCTATGGGATTGGCCTGGCACATCGGACAGCTTGCCTGGGCGCATTCTGCGCACCGCCAAAAGGGTCGATGCTTGGCATGGTACGTATCTTTGCTTGGCCGCGCAACTTTTTGGCAACCTGCACACGGTGGATAGGCACAACTCTGACACCATGTGCCTGGTTTCGAACGTGCTTTCAAAGGTTTGTGGCACTGTGGACATCCTGTACAGGCTGGGCACAGCCAGACAGGTTTGTGTTTGGCGTGGTACGGGCCTTTGTTTGGCCGTGCCACTTTTTGGCAACTTGCACACGGTGGATAGGCGCAGCTCTGACACCACGAGCCTGGCGTCGCCGCTGGTTTCAAAGGTGTGCTGCACTGTGGGCAGACTTTGGCGGTCGCTGCCTCCAAGTCGGTTGCCTTCCGCCAACATTTGCGACAAATGCCGTCGTTGGCTTTGGAATCATACTGGCGCAAGTGGGACACGCTGACGAGGTTCCGACACGTGCGGCACTGCCCGGCTTTTGCTTTGGACTTGTTCGGTTGATGCAGCTCGCACTTCCTGCAGCATGCTCTTCGTAGGTCTCTGTTTTTTTTGCGGCGTTGAATTTCCGCCGGGCTGAAGTCCGCCAAGGTCTTGGGTTTGAGTTTTCTGCCAACGTCACAGCGGGCACAAGCCAATCTTTCTTGGGACATGCATTGCTTGCAAAAACCGAGTTGCGCAAGTGGGGTCTTGTTGCAAAACGCACACTTGCTGGCGGCGTCGGCTTCGGCGCTGGTGGGGTTCCCGAACGGCTCTGGGTGGCGGCACTGGCTGCACAAGCGTTCCATGCCGAGACACACGATCTCCAACCACGCATCCGGCTGCCATAAATTGTTACTGGTGAAGTCGCGCAACGGCAGGAGGCCGTGCTCGCCTTTGGCTTTCGGGGTGCATCCGCGACAAAAGAAAAGGGTCTCCTGATTGCGCTTCCGTTGCACCTGCTCCTGCTCAAACTTGCTTTTGGCATCCGCCAGGGTTAGGGTCTGCCGATGTACTGCGAGGAACGTATCGGGGCCTATTAGTTCACCTTGGCTTAGAAGATTAGGGGAAAAGGGACGGGCTATGCAGAGGTCTTCTGCTTTTTTTTACTCGGGACAGGCACATGTAGGCACTGAGCTGGGAGTCCCGGTTCGCCGCCGTGTCCCAAAATCCTAAGTCCAAACTGCAGGCAGCTAATGTGGCCCCCATAAACGAATGCGCCGTGCCAGCATAATCGCAGGCCAGCGGAAAACCTCGTCTGGTGACCGTGGCGGTGCCGTGGGCTTCGAGTTTCCAATGTTGCACGACCGGGCGAATGCAAGCGACCCCCGGTGGGAGACCTGGGCGGTGCTGCCAGGTGGCACCGGGGATGGCGACAAAGAGGCATGCCGGCATTTTTTGGAGCACCAGCTCCGGCTGCTGGCAGGCCGGGATTGCCGCAATGTCTTCCTCCGCCAGGCTCCACGCAAACAATTGTCCGCGGGTGTTCTTGAACAAGCCCCAGGGCTTCAGTTCGGGCAAGGTCTGGGTGATGCGCACGGGCATGCCCGGCAAGAGTGGCAAAAGGCCCATTATCCCTGCTGTCGCCTGGTCATGTCGCTGAAGCCATTGCTCTTTTCGGTGCTGAAGCTCTTGGGCCTCCGTGTCAGGGTCGGTGTGGAAGAGCGGCGTGTCCTGCGCCACGACCCAGAGCAAGAGATGCTGTTGCTCGGCCGCCACCCATCGGGCCCGCAGCAGTGCTGCGACGTACTTGGCAGCATTCAGTCCATGCACAAACGGTGCCTGCAAAAATTTGCTGTCTTTTGGATTGGGCCCAAAGTCGGATGCTCCGGCAACGATGCAGCGCCGCCGGCGTTCGGCCGCACAGACCTCGCATTCTGCTTGGCGCCGATCCTGCCAGGTTCTTGTATTTTTCGGATCCAACACTTCCTTGGTCCACTGCTTGGCCAAGGCATCGCAGGCCGGCTTTTTGCAAGAGCACTTGTTTGTGTGGGGGTTCCACGAGCCGGCGTGCAAGGTCGGGAAGCCGTGCAGAAACGCCCACTGTTCTTGAGTTACAGCTCCATGTCGGGCGGCATGGAGAATTGCACTTAACCACGGATCGACACAACGATGCTCTTGGGTGAGTTCGAACAGGTGTTGGATGTTCTGTCTGTCATGCGTCCACACGACTTTCTGGAGGTTCGCTACTTGAACACTTTGTCCGTGCTTGAAGGGGTTATGGAAGATGGACGTGGCTTTCACGGCAGGGAATTGCCAGCAATCGCCGGCCAGCAGAATGTTGATGCCGGCAAAGGGCCGGGGCGTGCCGGTGGTGCGGCATTTCCACGAATGCCTGGCACGGACCGCTTCTTGCAGGCGTTTTTCTAACACGGCCAGTACTTCCAGGGCTGATGTGCTGCATTCGTCGATGATAAGCCAGCGTAGGTGTTGGTACTTGACGAAGTGATCTGGTCCAAAAGCCGTTTCCTTTTTCTGCTTCTTGCCCTGCACGCGGATATCCGCGAAGGAGTGAATGGTGATTCCATCTATGAGGGCCGCTTGCGTGTTCTGCGGGGCTACGAAGGCAAACTCGTGCAAGTGCTGCCAATCACACACCGTTTCGAAAAACGTGCGAAGCCAGTGCAAGGTTTGGGATTTCCCTGCGCCCGGCACCCCATGCAAGATTGCTCGAAATGGTTCTGATCGATTCTGCTTGTCAGCCCTTTCCTCGACAGCTTCGGCGTGGCACCTTTCCACAACGGCTGTAAGAACTTGCTTTTGTTGTGGGTTGGGGGCTGGCGTCATCCCGGGCCGGTTCAAAGCTTGCAACCACGTCCGGGCCGCGTCCAACCTGAAGGTTCCGTAGTTCGTGGCCACCGGGCGTGGCGGTTGCGTTTGTTGGGCGAAGGGATCTGCGCCAGCTGCCCCGGTTGCTGGTGCTGGGCCGGGGTCTGGCAGGCCGGTCGAGAACTGCCGCGGCCCTTGGTTGCTCGTGCTTGTCTGCGGTGTTGTCCAGTCGTGCACAAGACTCTGGACGGTCTGGGCCGACCGCTTGGAGTATTGGAACCCTTCTCCGGCAGTCAGGCGTTGCACGGTCGTCATGTCAACCCAGCTTGTGTCAACTTCCCTGTCCGGCTTCCTGGCTTCGTCGACGGTTGCTTCCTCGACGTCGTCCGGCGAACACTCTGCAGCAGCCAAGAAATTTGCGATGGTGCGAGCGGCATTTGCAGACACGATGTGGTGGCGAATGTAATCTCTCCATGCCGTGTGGTGACTGCGGTACCCCACCGAAGTTTTTCCGACACACCGATGGGAAGGCTTCTTTTGGCGATCAGTGATGGGGATGTCCAAGGCCTGAATATGTGGCACATGCAACGTGGCGTCGTCACCGGCTAATGTCCATGGGCGGAGATAGATGTTCAGCAGGCGCGCTTGCTGGTCTTTGCTCATATCTACTTTCGGTAAGGGGCAAGACGTTGGGTATGGCACCAGTGGCACCGCCCGGCGGCAGAAATAGTGGTCCGCATATGGTGCCGTGTTGGCCCGGCGGGGTAGGGGCACAATATGTTCGGAGTTGTGGCCGAGAGGTGTCTTCCAAGTGAAATCTCGCCCAAATTGCCATCCATCAGCGGGCTCAGGGCCTTCGCCGCGTCCTGGGAGCCAGGCACTGAGATCGCTGCGTTGTTTTTGAAGCGGCTGCAGACGTTGCACATCCCAAAGTGCAGTAAATTCCCAGGGGCTTAGATATTTGAGCCGTGGATCAGAGCCGCGCCAACCATACAGCTCGCTGGCTCCCAGTTGGACCTGTCTGTGGTGGCTTGGTTTGACCCGATGTCGCACTTCTGTTGCTTTGTCGTACTGGGCGACCCATGCACTGCCGACAAAGGGAACGACGGCAAAGGAGCGAATGCATTCGGCAGACGTGGGTTCGTCGCCGTCCCAGAAACCGGCTAACATGACTTCTTCCGTCAGGGGGCGGACGGAACAGCGAAATTCCAAGTCACCGCACACTCGATGCAACACTTTCCGGTAGTGCTTGGCTTCCGCGCCTTTAGCAGGGGTAATGTCGAGATATGACAGGTGCTTGGCGGCTTGTTGCAGCTCTTTCCGACCCAATGGCTGGGGTTTTTGCAAATATCCTGTGAAGTATTGCGTCGCTTTTTTCGCGGCATGCTGCATTAGCCGTTGGAGGCGCTGCAAGGTATTAGTTTCCAAGCAGTTCCGCTCGCATGCCGGGTCATGCGTTTCCGGCAATAGTGGGATGCGGAAATTGATGCCGGTATGGCTGTTGCCCATGAACATCAGGGTAAATGCATGCATCGTGCCCGACAGCCATTGGTTGTCACGTGGATTGAGGACGCAGCCAAGTGCATTTCGTCTGCCAGCCGTACTCTGACGAAATTTGCGAGCATTCCCCCGGCACACGACGCGCGCCACGTCGCAGATGGTTTTTGGAAAGCCATGCTTGCATTTGTTTGGCGCGTCCTTCTTTTGGCAAGCAGGCAGCGGCACGTGGCACTTGTGCTTGGCATCCCACGTGTGCATATGGTGTTGCTGGTGTGAGAGCTTCACTTGCACTGCTGTCTGGTAGAGTTGCCGGTATCGAATGGCGTCCGTCTGCAGGGCCTGTAGGTTCGCTGCGGCAGTCGGGGCAGCTGAGCTCGGCGATTCGGCGGCATGGGCCGGCGATGAGCAACGCTCTACGCGGAGCGGCCCGCCGTCGGCGACCCGTGGCAGCCACGGCGAAGGCGTGGTGTCTGCGGCAACAAAAGCTGGCCAAAGGCATAACTTGTCATGCTCCGTCCCAGGGAAGTTTTGCATCCACTGTTTCTCCAACGCTGGAAAGAGGGCTTCATGCTGTTCGAGGTTGAAGTGGCTTTCATTGTGCAGCCAGGCTTGGTACCGAAACAGTTCCTCCAAGGTAACGGCCTTAGCTTGTATTTTTTGGGCTAATTTTTTCAGGGGCTGTTGCCACACCGTGGCGACGTATACATTGGCATGAAAATGGGGGTTGCTGTTTTTTTGATACTCTATGGCTCCGCAGAATCCAAGCACCAGGCCCAGGATGCCTCCCATCGGGTGTGTCGACTGTCCGAGGGCATCGCGACAGCTGCAATTGGGGCACAGCGGAAGCACATGCGGACACCGAGAAGCTCCGCAAACACAAAACGAACCATGCACTGGAAGGCTATGTCGACGGCCCAGGGATCTCGAACGGATGTTTGCCGGCGCGTCTCGTACTCAGGGACTGGCACAATCACCTCGGCTTCTTCCCAGACGCGTGGCACGTGCTTGCCAGAAAGCGGTCCCGCACCCGGGTCGTGCTGTCGGTACCGCGAGAGTCGCAAGCACAAGGCATTGTGCCGCGTCGTGGGAGATAGGGTCATGAAGATGGGTTCGCCGAGTTCGACCCGTGCTCCAAAGAGAAACCGGCCAATCCGTCGCCGGACCTCCACTGTTCCAGGCAAGGTCATCTGTGTATGCCGGATGTCGCGCAGCAGCTGAGCTTCGGGCGCAGTGAGGCCTTCGGCAAACCATAGCTTGCGGGCATCGTAGTTGATTGGCTTCAGCGTCTTGCCGGAGGTCAAATACTTGCCCTTTTGCAATTTGTGGTACAAGGCTTTGGCCGCCTCCACCCATTCATGTGCCGGTGTGGCTTGCAGGGCATTGGTTTGTGATCTCCAAGCGCGGTAGAGCGGCGCTTGGCAAACCGAATGCCATTTGAACGTCAACCGACGTAGGCCTGAAATTAGATCCCACGAGTTCCGCAGCGAAGACTCGACGCGCCGGGCTAAGGAGCGCAGGTGTGGGACTGGCCCTAGCACCGCTGCCTCGGCTTTGCGTCGCGGCCGATCCTTGTTTGGAAAGTCCGGCCCACCGACAGGGGATGGGATGCTGAAGGGGAAGGCCCAGGCAAGGTATTCAGTTTGCCATTGGTCCCAGAATTCGGTGCCCGTCTGGATGGTGACCTTCGGGGTGACCTGCGCAAGGCGCGTCACTTCTTGGGTCGTCGTGTCACCTGCCTGGCTGCTGGTATAATCCGGGCTGAGAACTTGAGGTCGGCTGTTGCCCAAGAAGGCTTCCCCGCCAAACTGTGGGAGGTTTGCGGGTTCTGGGGTTGCATTTTTTGTCTGAGGTGGAGTGGGTGCTGCACCGGCTAGGTCGGCTTGCTCTTCGACGGTGACTGGACAAATTTCTTCTGTGCCATACTCCCGCTGCACTTTGGATCGGAACAGCTGCTTTAGTTCGGCTGGCGTGCCGTCATAGGCTGCGAACATGGGATGGTGTATATCGACTAAGTGATCTAAGAGGGCAACAACCACATGAGGCCTAAGGTGGGCGCCGGCTACCCACTCCACGAGCTCAGCATGCCGCATGCCCTTCACCGTCACTTTCACCATTGCGCGCAAGGCAGGCAGCGCATGCGGCAAGGTTGCAATGCGATCGTGGGGTGTCATCTGTGCGAAGTGGCCGTAGATCTCTTCCCACGGCAAGCTCACGGCACTGATGTTGCCGCGGATGGCCAGGCGGTGCTCGGCTCGATGCACCGGCTCCTCTAAGACGTGCCCGCGGTCTGCTTCGAGGTAAAAGCTCACCATGGAAGTCCACAGTGGCGAAGCAGCCGCCGTCTCTATCCACCGCACCCGATGTTGGTAGAGGAGCTCGGCCGGATAGCCATAAAAGTTGTCGTTGCAGAGGGCTGACGGAATGCCACTAAATGCACCTTGCCGCATTCGTTTCCAACAGGCTCGGCACAGTGGCAGCTCGCACTGGCGGCAGAGCTGCATGCCACTTGCAGGGCAGGCGCTGCACCGGAGATCTTCCGGGCAGCACAGGATGGACTGCCCATTGAACAATGTCTGTGGCAAGGTCCGCTGCCATTCGGCTCCGTGGAGTTGCCTTTGGACGGCTGCATGGGAGCCATAGGACGTGCGATATTGCATCAAATCCCAATTCTGTTGGAAGCTCTCGGGTGTCAAGGTTTCGAAGATCTGTTCCACGCTCAAGTACCCTATGTCGCTGCGCGGTCCGCTGGGCAGGACGGCGGCACAGCAAGCACAAATGAGAGCAACGGCTTGCTCTTCTTGTCTTTCAGCATGCAAGCGTCGCAAAGTGCGACGATCCACACTCCAACCAACGGCCGGGACCGATTGCTCTTCGACACATTTCAAGGCTGCGATGTACGAACTCACAAGATCTCCGGGGCAGTGCTGAAAGGCGAGTGCATGCTGGCTGTGCAAATGCGCCCACAGACAGGCAGCGGTGTCGTTGCAGCAGGCTCCGCTGCTGCAGTGCCAAGTGACCCCCTGCACAATCCATCGATCTTTCAAGAGCAATGCGTCCACGCACGGCTGTGCGTCGCTGCACCACGTGCAACCTTCAAAGGCACAGTGGCAGGCTGGATACGGGACGCCGGACATGCTGTCGGCTAACTCTACCGGAACGTGTGGTACGGATGGTGGCAGCAAAGGTTTGGTACGAAACTGTCGGCTGATGGTCTGAATTTGTTCCCAATGTTGATCTTCCAGCGTGCACCATGCACGCTCTGGTTCCAGCGCCAGGCTAGGTGCGGCACTAGAGCCTTCACTGGATTGGTGTGAATTCCACGACACGACACTTTCCGTGTCAGCAAAGCCCACTTCGGACCCGCTGCTGCAAGGTGGCGTGGCCGGTGCGGGCCACGGGTCTTGGTTGGATGCCATCGGCTTGCTCGGCTCGGCCGCCGCTTCTGCGGTGGCAGGCGCCGCATTCGGCTGGTTGGGTGGCTCTGCCGGCTCGACCCGCGAAGGTTGCACGCGGATCATACCCAAATGCTGTTGCAAGGCTCGTGCTCCCTCCCTGTGCCATATCTGCAACCATGGTGTTGGTTGCCACACCGAAGCGGGTGGCCTATCTTCCCACAGCAAGCTATAGTGTCCGGTGTGACCCATGGGTTGGTGCACCAGGTGCAAGGCATGCGGGTGCAGCTCAGCCAGCCGCATCGCTTCCGCGTCAGTGACTCGCTCCATCGTTGCAATCCAGTAGTTAGCATCCACGTCTGTACTCCAGACAAGCACTTCAAAGCCAAATGCCTTTGTCAGTGCCCAAACCTCCACGCTGGTGCCATGATGGATGCTATCCAGCATGTTCGGCATTTCCAACACTGCTGTCAGCTTGCTCCAAAGCACGAGCAACCCTTGCGGAAGTTCATCAGGCAAGAGGATGCCCCGGCGTTCCAAGAATCGGCGATGCAGTTCCAGCTCGGCGGGCTGGTCGGGCATGCAAGCAATGTTAATGTCCGCGGCACTGGGGCCGTCGAATTGCTGGACTAGAAATTCCAATGCCTGCACGTATGTGTCCGCCGCTTTCCGCACGCTCCACTCTGGCTCGTGGCTTTCGTGCCGTTCCAAGTACCAGCTCACGGCATGAAGGAGACACCACCCATCGCCGGGGATGTCGACCGGCACTCTCCGCAACCTTTGGGCACGTGCTTCTACAGTATAGCTTGCTTCAGGCTGTTCCGTTGCATTGTTGCTGCCGGATGCAGCTCCACTGTTGCTACTGGCATCGGTTGGCCCAGGTCCGTTACCATGCAGCGCATGGGCGAGTCGATTGCGGAGCTTCCGGCTCCAATGCCACAACCGAGTCCAGGCCTTCTTCCTGCGACGTTGCCGCCGTCTGCCACGGCATGGTCTGTACCGCCTGCCTTTGATCCGGCGGCAGCGCTTGCTGCCACGCGCTCTCTTGGTAAGCACCCTGGCAATTCGTGTGGCTGCAGCGTCCACCACCGTCGGCCACACGGTGCACAGCATGTGACCAAGAATTGCGTACTGTAGTGTCTCACAGAACGGCAGCATGCCATCGTGCATGCAGTGGCACAATCCTAGCCAGAGCAGTACATGGCAGAGAGTCCTGACAAAAAGCCATCGGCACGACGTGGCAGGCACGGGCGACCGACACCGCGTCCGGCTGGGGGCGCGCCCTTATCTAATATGTTGCTTCTAATGTTTCTACGGTGCAGTGTTGCTTGCAGCCTCTGATACCAAAGGTGGTTTTGATTGCATACGAGGGGTGCTATGTGCTAGTCAACTCTATCTACGCGTTTCGGGTTGCTGGCAACTTTCGTCTACTCGATGCTGCACATGTACCTACTGACGGTTCTTGTTGCTGTGCGTTTTTTTGCTCTGCGTTGTCGGCTACCTTGTCATGCGTCAACTACTTTGCGTTTCTCACTGACTGGGCTGACCTGCAGGCGGGTCGTCATGTTGCGTGGTTGTCCCCCTGGTCGTGACCCGGCTCCATTTGCTACAGGCTAGATTCTGGCAAGGTTCACGGTGTCAACTTACTGTCCATCTAGGTCACAGACCATCTGTCCAGCTACGTCAGTGACATTAGTTGGCTTTGTTTCACTGAGGTTTTGTTGCTAAACGGTGGTTCACGATCAATGTGCGACGTAAACCAAGCCAGCTCGCGCACTCGAGTCCCCCGAACATGCCCCACAAAACAGGCCGGGTTGACGGCTGGCCGTTGACGCGCTTTCGGTCGGCCACGCTGCTTTGCACTGCTGTAGCCATGTTGTCCATTTGCCGTCGTACTGCTCTTGCCTTGGTCGGTCTGAGCAACGCTCGGACGCGCGCTCGAGCAACTTTGACTCTCGCCTGAGCCACGCTCTAGCTGATCAAGGCTTCAAACCGGCTACTCCGGACACAGGCTTCTTCCCGTGCTGGCTAGGCAATACATACCAACGAAACATGCCGATCCAACCAAGCCGGGTTGACCGTTCACCTTGGTCGGTCTGAGCAACGCTCTGACACTCGCTGGAGCAACGCTCCAGCTGACCA